AGCATTAAAGAAACGAGGTTTAGCTTATTATCCAAACTTAGTATTCACAATTTATTATCTACATACACATAGAAAATATATTTTTTTATTAATAATAGCATACTGATGAACGGACAATAGATAAATTAATATAAGGACACATCATATTACTACTTCTTACAGTAAGGATTGAGCGTCTGGCCCCTGCAAAATGCCAAACGCAAAATGGCTACACGTGTCTCTGGATTGCCTATCTGCGCCTTGTCTTTTTAGAAATTCTCCAAACAGTCTGTAATATGATAACAAGTGGTCAACACTGTATGGTTTAGATTTGTATAATAGTAATTTTTACACCTAAAATATATGCCAGAAGTATGCTTTTTCAGTAAGTTAATAAGTCGTCATTTTAAAGAAGAGTTATAAAATTAAGTTGATTACTTTTTATTTCTGAGTAACTTGAACAAAGCGATTTAATACTCTTTTGTATTCAACAGTACTACTGTACTAGTGTGCTCTAATACGGGGTTTAAATAATCGGAGGCAAATTTTTATCGTATCGTCTACTTCTGAGTCATGCATGTATGGGTGGTGATATTTTAGTTTTAAATATATTTAACTATTCATTAAATACTTTGACATCATTGATCCATACATTATAGTAGAGACATTAAAGGATGGTTTGGTTTAAATTTTAAAATTATAAAAGGAACTACTTTTATTAAGACTTGAGATAATGTGTGGACTTTTTAATCAAAATATTGGTGAGACACTAAAACACCCCCTTCTTCCCCTAATGAATATTTTTGCTTGTTAATTAACGTGAGAAATCTTGTAAGCAGAGTAACCGAACTTTTCGCCAAGTGTTTGTTACCGAACCCATTAGGCGCGGGTGTTTTGACAGGAGAGATCCAATTGCTCATGATCCGGGAGATGACAACGCGAATGAGGCAAAAATAATAGGAAGGTGAAAATGGATTGTGGCGCTTCGAGGGTAAAGCGGTGACCCGATAAAACAATAACGAAGAAGAAGAGTAAGACGGAGCCAAGATAAGAACGGTGCGAGGTAGGGAGGATAACGTCGGGGTGGGGAGGGGTTGTGGCACGCTATTGGTCCCACAAAACGTCACCGCGCCGCGCACCGCATTTCCCCTTAACTCCTTCCCCCTGAAATATCGGTCAATCGTCAACTAACCCGGCGAGAAAATTTCATTTTCCAATTGCCTCCACCGTAAATGAAATAAAAGTTTCTGCAATCAACCCGGTCCGGCCTCAAGATGTGGATGGACGGGTTTATTGTTTTCTTTTCAACTCCCCCCCCACCCCCTCTTGTCACGTGACCCTCCACAGCCGTCTCTACCAACCTCGCGGGTCGTGTGTCTTGATCGATAACGCCTTTATTATAGGACTTGACAAATGTATTAGATCGTTTGACTTTGTGCGGAATTGGAATAAAATGTTGAAACGTAAAAACTTTAATGACTTTTGTCTCTATACTATTGGATTACATTTATAATTAATTGAGTATATTCATTTTGATCAACTTAAAATACGAAAAGGGTACTCATGAATTGAATCATTTTTATAATTATTTATAAAAGTTAGGGAGTTTCATTGTAGCGCACAAACATACATTTTTTTTGGTACTTTATCACTCTTATTATCAATTAACATTATAAGAAACATCCCTTATAATAATAATCATCATAATAAGGTTTGGACAAACTTGTAAAATCGTTATGTTGTATTATTCTTTGTTTTACAGCAGACTAAAATGTGTAGTAAGATGTCAATTTTAAAAATAAATTTGAATATATATTTTATCTTATAGGGCCTATCAGAGAAACAAAACGATACATGGAATTAATTTATTTTCAATATTCTCTTTGAACAGTTTGAGAAAAATACCAACTATTAAATAAGCTTTCGTAGTAAAACAATACTTACATTCTTAACATCAAATACATAAAGCGTAATTTTTTTAACTCGACAAAATGAATGGTGCCTAAATTAAACATGCTAAGATTAATTGATACATTCTATAAACATAATTATCTACAGATATAAAATGAAATAAAATCAAGTACAATATTACTGTGGCGCCCACAATACGCAACACGCAAGATGGCTACACGTGTAGCTGTTTTGCCTATCTACGCCGTCTTATTTGTTTTCACTTTGTGCTGCCTTTCAGCATATCCTGAAATAACGTATACTAAAGATAGAAAAAAATACTAAATATATGGAAAAATAATTAAAAAAATCTACCAAATAGGTAATAAATGTTCTAACAATAACATTGATGGTTCATATATAATTTTTTTAAATTTATAGTGAATAAACTTATTGTATTAATTTTTAAATAACTTCTTTATCGGCATCGTACGTGTTATTAAATTACCTGAAAGGACAAACATACGGCAAATAACACTTGTAATAATATATTTAGACTTATACTGTTGACTCACAAGTCAGTATCGATTTCGATTGGACATTCCAATCATCATCACACCCCATTAGCATATTATTATAAGTGTTATTTGACGTAATCTTTTGTGCTTTCAGGTTATTAATTTTTTTATTAAATTATTATCATTAGTTTGTTAGGAGCGTTCTTCATTTTGGCCCTTGGTTGGAATATATTGTTGACAAAATAAAAGGATTACCATATCCAACCACAGTTGCTGGTATGACAACTAGTTTCGTTCCTTAGAACTTAGTCAGGTTATTGTATGTAACCACATCATCAATGTATTAATTGTGGTATGTCAAAAGATTCTTGAAAACACTGTCAAAATCCCAATAAATCAAAACTAGTCATGATGATCAAATGATTAAATTGAATAAAAAGTGATAACACTGGTTAAAACTGTAAAGACTGGCCAGCACAGTATAAGAGATAACAATGTGTCGTTAAACTCAGAGATGGACTATTTTTTTGACTATTTTTGGACTATTGATAGAGAAGAGACGATTGGTATGCGATTAAAGGTTTCCTTGCTCTGGGTCTGGGTTTAAATTGTGCCAAAGAAAATTACTTTTACCCATCTAATAATGTCTTAATGTGCTGATTCGAAACCCTACCTTCACTAAAATCCACCTATATGTCATCGATTCATACCTACAACCTAAAATTCTAAATGTTGTGTCACACCTGTCTCAGGATTTGTCGAACTGAGAGACAGAACAGGAGGGATTCACTGGTAGGGTTGCGACATTTGCGTCGACTTACGACCTTAACATCCCTTCTTTGTCAAAATATCATATTCCCGACCTTTACAACCCTTCCTGTGTCTAAGACGACCGTGGGCATTAACTCTGCGATGACCCGTAGAAGGGTTAGCATGGACCCGTAACGGGAAGTTCATGGAGTTTAGCAATGTGACATTTAGTACATAAGGTTAATTCATGATGAGTATTAATTTTATACTAGTGGTCGTCCTGTGGTCGAAACTCGACCAAAAATAATTAATGTACAGACTACTATATTTTCTCCCCACACTGTAAATAAAACATGTGATTGGGATTTCCTCCAATTGTTTTGATTTTCTGTTTACATTTTGTTTTTATTTCGTCACCATCATGGCAACCCAGTTGGTCCATGTTAATTTTTTGAAGTTTTCAAATTCGTTTTTTGTGCTTATTTTTTAGCCTATTTTAATTTATAAAGGGATTCTGCACATCTACAGGCAAATATCTTTCTAACAGTATGCGTAGATTTTCCCTGCGATGCACACGAGCTGAGAAAAAAGGTTTTAAAGAAACATGCTTGCCTATTAATATATAGATTAGTACTTTTGGAAAAATATTTGTATATTGTTTTACTTCTTTTGATGATCAAAGCACAAAATGTAGCAATGAAACTACTTAAATGTGTAACAATAATATACATTTTCCAACACAATCCGATATATGCACACCTATACTGTAAAATGTATATGGTAAACATGAACAAAATGTTTTAAAACTGTTATGAAGCCCAATCGTAGATTTAACGTCTTAGAATTAACGCGATGTCTACTGTGAGTATGTATTTACAGAGTATAGTGTTGTAGATCTTTATCAAACTGGCCATTCTTTAGAATAATTTGGAAAAAAAACTGAACAATTTTGACTACTCCTCAATAAAAGAATAATTTGTATAATTAAAGTATAAGAGATAACAATGTGTCGTTAAACTCAGAGATGGACTATTTTTGTATGTTTTTATCTTTGCTATGTAACATTTTCAATTCTTTACATTGGTATACTTGATTTTATTAATTACACTGGTACCACACAAATAACTACAGATACCTTTTAGATGAACACTTTTTTACAAGCACATTGTTACGTATATTTCTTTGTCACTTTAGCAGAAAAATGAGAATTACAAATAAATTGTCTTTAATTGTCTTAAATATAACGTCTTGTTCTAATTTTATAAGTTTACTTAAAATTTAAAATAACTTAGCCTTATTAAGTTTTAACCACCAAGACACTTATGATAATGATCTTGATGGTAAGAAGATGGCGTGTTTTCTAATTTATGTTACAGAAGTTTCTACTTAATACTGTTAAGATCGGCAAAGTAGATATTGAGATCGGATTTGCTTCTTTACGCCCTAACTAATGGCAACACACTCCAGATCGCGTGCAGAATTAGTGTCAGATTAACAGCACTAAAAGCCTTTCTCAGTTACAACGAAGTCTCAAACTGTAAACGTTCGATAAAACATAAAATAAATAGTTCATATTATGAACCTTAAAAGTATTTTTCTTATAAAATGTTCAACACTATTCAAAATCACTTTTCTTATTCTCAAACAAAAAGCGATTTGCTGTATTACATCTTTACTCCACGCTTATTGGTTGCCAAAACATCGAAATTTCCGAACAAAGAGTGTTAGAAAAACACCTTTCTCTTATACATGTCTCATCTTGGACAATTACCTATTTTTAATATTTCACTAATTTAAACCTGTTTTGAATATGTATTATTTGTATTTAACTCCAAATTTTTCATGGTTTGCCCACTTTTACAGGGATGGCGCATCACCTGAGCATGGGTGCTGGGGAAGGCCCGTGGGGCAGTGCGTTTACCAGAGGTCTAGGGGCTTACCCACCCCCGTACCTGCCCCCTCACTGCGCAGCCCCCCCTGGCCTGCACCCCCCTCACTTTCCCAGGATGTTGGCGCTCTCCGCCGCCGCTGCCGAGCAGTCGTTACACCCATCAGCGAGAGGTAACTGAGCAAACATAAAGTAGTTAGTGTACTTTTAGATTACACATAGTAAGAAACCGCAACATAATATCATATAACTTATATTATTACTTATAAACAAATACAAAAATCTTGATATTTGTTGCAAGACGTTATGTGGTATCCAAACGCCTAAAGGAACCCGTGGTCCAATCACACAGTGCAATTCCTCGAAAACACAAATACTTAAGGAACCCGTGGTCCAATCACAGTGTGCAATTCCTCGAAGACACAAATACTAGAGGAACCCGTCGTCCAATCACACAGTGCAATTCCTCGAAGACACAAATACTATAGGAACCCGTGGTCCAATCACTCAGTGCAATTAATCAAAGACACAAATACTAAAGGAACCCATGGTCCAATCACACAGTGCAATTCCTCGAAGACACAAATACTAAAGCCACCCGTGATCCAATCACACTGCTGAGCTGTCGTTACACCCATCAGCGAGAGGTAACTGAGCAAAAATAAAGTAGTTAGTGTACTTTTAGATTACACATAGTAAGAAACCGCAACATAATATCATATAACTTATATTATTACTTATAAACAAATTCAAAAATCTTGATATTTGTTGCAAGACGTTATTTGGTATCCAAACGCCTAAAGGAACCCGTGGTCCAATCACACAGTGCAATTCCTCGAAGACACAAATACTAGAGGAACCCGTGGTCCAATCACACAGTGCAATTCCTCGAAGACACAAATACTAGAGGAACTCGTGGTCCAATCACACAGTGCAATTCCTCGAAGACACAAATACTAGAGGAACCCGTGGTCCAATCACTCAGTGCAATTAATCAAAGACACAAATACTAAAGGAACCCATGGTCCAATCACACAGTGCAATTAATCGAAGACACAAATACGTTATTCATCACCACATCCAAATAAACGTCTGCAAATTAAACACTTAAAGTTTATTTTCATACTTTTAAATTGATAGGTAAGAGATTTTACATATAGGTAAATCTAATTGTTATTTTAACATCCCACTAATTATTTTTTTCTCATTTTCAGTGACAGAGCTCGTCCGGTCACCAGGTCCGGAGCCCCTAGGACCCATCAGTGTGAATGTCACCCCTGAACGACGGACACCTCCCTCAGATACCTCCCCAGCTAGGAGAAGGAAGAGGTCCAGGTCTCCCTCGGAGCCTCCTAGACCACCTGAGGCTCCTGTGTCCTCTACGTCATCAGGATCTGCGGAGCCCCCACGGAGTGTATCCCCCGTGTACCCCACAAGTCCTCCCTTGCCGTTCCACCCCAACCCCGCCTTCTTCAGCCTCTTCCTCAACGCCCCGCTGTTGCAACCTTCCCAGTGGCTGTACTCTCAGCTGTATCCTCATCACCCATACAACCACCTGCAATTTAGGAACCCGCCCCCCGAGGAAGCCTCTTCGGACTCCAGAAAGTCCCCGCCAAGCTCTCCAAGTCCTGTCAGGATCAAAAGTCCTTCCCCTCCACCCTCTTCGGCTCCAGAACCCAAGAGTACTTCAAGAAGTTCCGATGTGTGGCGACCGTACTAGTGGTTGTGTACTTCAAGGAAACATCGTAAAGACTTACTAGAGATGTTTAAGGAGAAAATCAAACCAAGTATAGTTACAAAGAGAACTTTGAATCTGCATCAAAAGTGATATTATTTCCCAACTTGTTTTAAGAAACAGTACATTTTACAAGGGTATGGTAGGATTCCATCATGTTTCGATATGAACATTTGAAATCTTAAGATGTTGTCAGCCTTAAGTTTGCCAGATTTTAGAGGCCAATAAATAGCTAAATCTTTAAGTTACTTATGTTATAAAGAATGAAAAGTTGAAACTTACTAAACATTTCCTGAGCTGAAAGACCTTTTTACAAATTTATTTATTTTATATCAATTTTGTTTGGTCGATGCTGCAACAGAAATATTAAACATACTCTTAAACCTTTATGAAATTTTGGGGCGTTGATATAATTAATGTGTACAAAACTTGTTGAGTGGCTCAATTAATTTTTACATGTTGTAGAGAAACTCATCCTTATTGTAAATTCAAATATCACATTTTTATAATCTCGATGGGATAGTGTACAAATTACAGGTTATTCCTAATGTCTATTATTTTCTACCCACACTGATGTTGTACTTATGTAAATATGTGGATCACATTGTATGTAAAAACGATAGGTTAATAAATCGAAGGATTTGACGCCCACGAGTTTTGTTTGATTAAACCTTTGAAATTTATCCTCTGATTGGTTTATAGTTTATTGAAATCCTTTGGCTAAGCTATATCCTGAGAACCTAATACAAGGTAGGACTATTCATAGATGTCCTGATTCAAATGATTCTGGAGATTAAAAAAATTATAAAAAGCTGCAAGACATCAAACATCGGCTATGTTTTCCATAGCTTAAAAATCTGCTCTAATCTGACAAAGCCGGTCATATATTCTTCTATGTCTCTATTAAAACATATCAAAGATTAGATCTACAAGTTTCAAGAATGCAGTTTATGTTTAATAAAATCCAAAGAGGTTTAGGTAAGTCCACTGCTTCTGAAAAAATATCGTTTCACCTATTACAAGTACTAAATGTCTATTATGGCCATAAAAAAGGAATCTAACAATTATTAATAAAATAAAAGTTTTTTTACCAAGAGGGAAAGCTGATTGTAGTGGAGGTGTGTGGATCTCAAAAGAATGGTCCCCAGGGTAGAGAACAGTGATAAGAACTATGTAGGGATCTCGGGGGTAAGAGTTGCTATTGGGGCTCTTCAAATCGCTCTCATGGCTCTAGTTGAACAGCTAAAAAACCACCGAAATATATGTAGCAAGTTTCTATACTACATGTACTACGAGATTGTCTGATGAGGTACGTTTAGCCATTATTTGTCATAAAACGCAATCCTGGGGCTATCAAAATGAATTATTATTGAACGTCTATAGCATGTATAATAAACGTTAACTTTCAACCCAGTAGCACGGAATGCATGGACAAATCGGAAGAAAATCAAACATGCCTGTGTGCTTTTTGTGAAGGTACAGCCAGGTAACAAACAATATTCGTTTTTTTCTACCATAGTATGACTCTCTTAAACTTGAGGGATCAAACTAAAGTGAACGCGAGATTTGATACACTTTGGGTCTACTTTGAGATTCAGCTCTACATAATAATAATAAAGTAATGAGTTTTAGATCAATCAAACTTATTTGAGTTTGGACAAGAAATTTCAGACTCCAGTTATCTTATGAGTGATGAAGCAAAACCAAAACTTAAGTATAGAACATGTATTTTTATCTGAGGAAGTTTGCATTTATGGCTCAAGATAACTTAGAATGAACACGAGTCTGATTACCCAAATGTTTGATTTTTGTGGGGAAATAGTAAAAAGTATAGGGTAATATAATTACATACAAAAAAATAGTAAATTTTGGACACTTTTAAAATTATATCTCAAATTTAGAAAACTATTGTCCAAAGACAAAAGCTTTAAAACCCAAAGTCTTCCACCTTTCGTATGTCAAACCTTGAAATTTTCAAAACATTCTCGAATGCAATGTACACTAAATTTTATTTAGGCCTATCAATTATGTTTCGTACCACACTGATTGGACGTAAGAAGTTTATACGTAAAGAAGGTGTGGTATTCAGTGTCACTTTCTGAGTCTCCGCGGCGATCCATGCTTTTGCCCTGTTTTGCTCCGCTTTTACCCCACTTTTGCCCCACTTTTCAGTCCAATTGGCTTGTCAATACCCAAGCCACGTCGTGGGGGAACGTCTTCCCCAGATTCTCGCCTTGTCAAACCTAATCGCATAAAAATACAATCTCTAAATGGTGTTAAAACCAACCTCCCCCAGTTTTATTTTCACCCTTGTTTACCCAAGATTAGGCAATTCTGTTTTGTAATCTTGTTCGACGTATGTCTGGGATTAAGTTGTGAGTCTTTTAATGGAAAAAATGTGAGAAAATGTATTTTATATTACCATTACGTTATATCTACGAGTCTCGTATTTTGTTATTTTAATGAATAAAGGTATTAAATGCTTAGCTATGTACTGGTGACTCAGCAATAGAATAATGGCAAACTCATGCTGTTATGTTCCCTGTAAAGTGTAATGATTTTCAATTTTTTAGTTTATTAAAGCCTAATTTGAATCAAAAATGTACTAAATTATCAATCTTATTTATAGATTTGTAACAAAGACAGTAGTAGTACCATTACATAATCTTAATTGAGACATGTTTGAGTTTTTTTCTATAATTTATCATATTTTTAAGTTCTAGGTACAATAAGACGAGCTTCAGGTTTGGGTGTAATATTACTAAATCACGTGCTTCAAGAGAATCCATGTCTAGACAGCTTTATTATCACCACTTATTATTATATGTGTAAAACTACAATCATTTTACTTTTTTTAAAATTACAATAGTATGTCCAGATATTAATATTAACCAGCATTTTAGAGGAGGATCCTTTAATTTTAAAGGAAGGGATAGGATGTAGAAGAGCATTACAGTAAAGTACAAGTTAGTACTTTGTCGCTAGAATTACACTTTAATCTGCCTCTTGGGTACGATACGTCCAGGATGGTTTCACTCTCAAGGATAATGCTTAATATCTGATCATAATTGCTTTTGAAATTCTTATACTCAGAACTATTGACGTTTGATTAACCTACATACTTAATGCAATAGGGGTTACCTGTAACATCCCTTTTCCAGCATATTTCCTGCACAGATTTTTACAATTAAGGTATCATTTTAAATATTTTTATCTAGTGGTACTGCGAATCGTAATTGAAAATGTAATTTCCTTAGGGCTTCGCCCCTGACGTTAATTTATTTATAGAGCCCATTTTAAAGATCCAGTTAAGCGGAACATCTTTATAACTCTTAAGCACTCGCTATAGAACTAACTTTAAAATATCAGCTAAATTATACGTAACTGGGCTTGAAACTAATTCAAAACATTCATAAAATTTTTCTTGTTAGAATTGTGATAAAAATACAATTAGTTGAAGTAATATGTTGAATGTTCCGGCCTAGATTCCAGTATAAAGGATGTGAAGGTGGGACTTAAAAAAGTATCTAATTCTGAAAGTACAACCTTATAAATTACTAAAAGAAGTATTCCGTTACGTGTGTCTATACTTAAAAAATGCTCACTAATAGCATTGGCATATAAAGTCAATGCTAATCGAGTTTTGGAATGAATCAGCTAAAGACAATGTTAGTGTTTGTTCAGCCTGGTTTATGACGAGTTGTTAAGTTGCTTGAGTTTTATTTCTTCTTATTTGGCTGGTTTAAAAACTATTTTCACCAAATAAAATAACCTGATTTTCAACAATAGTTTTTCTTCTTGTATTGCAACAAAATAGGAAAAGACAAATTGTACAATCTACCCTAAAAGAGGGGATAGTTCAGTCAAGATCAGCACACTTAAATGTCGGTAAAATGATTCACCCATAAAAGACTCCAGATTTTACAGTAGGGTTATTTTAAAGCATGATTCAGCCAATGGAAGGCGAAATTCAAATAACCTGTGTAGCTTTTTTACTGACAAAAAGCTGATTCTTTGGTCAAGATTAATAAAAAAAATTGTAAGTTCTATGATCAAGGAAATTTGTATCTAAGTCTCAAAATGATCAATATATCAATACATTAACAGAGTCTTCAGGATTCACAACTTGACGTAAAATCTAATAGTGCAAAGTAAACATTTTTTCTACTCAATTCCTAACATAAGAATGTCGTGGTGTATACAGTAACTGATGACACTAATAGGGACTAGACGGACGAGGCCATCCGGTAGCTTTCATCACAGCTATCGCAGATCACTTGATGACGCCATACATCACAGCCTGTGGTAACTCCTGGAGATCACTGATAGCAGATGCTACTGATCTGGACTGCGACGGATGAGGCTATCCGTTTGACGGATGCGGTTACCTCATCCCCCGGCGCCGTCCTGTCACCAACCGGATGCTATCAGACACCGATCTGGTAAAAGCAACAGCATGGGGCCCACTTTGTGGCACCTTCGGTTAGAAGTGGTAGTCTGTACAAGGTGTTGCTAGAAGTTACTGGTGGCAAGCTGTGAAGTGGGAATATGATGGTGCAAATGTACTAAATATGTACAACTGGATAGCTGTGGTAATAGGCAGCTACCTGAAGGTAAGTGAGCGTAGCGACAAACTTCAACCAAGACGTGATTGAACCATGCGAACGAGCTCATCTTGAAAATGAACGAGCATTTGACATAAAACCACATTAGGACAGGACGACGTCTGTTGGGCCAGCTAGTACATTATAAAAGACTTTCATATCATGAAACCGACACTTAACCTTCAGTCATCTTTGGCTTTAAAACCCCTGGTGTTTTGGCCATACAGATTTAATCTAGAGCTATAATTTACCATCGTGCACTTATTATTTTGACAGTAGGGCCAGAAAATAGACGATGAAATAACTTTTTCTGAATGGTGCAATTTTGAAATTGTACACAAAATTTACATGTAAAATGAAACGAGAAGACCAGTAATATGTGGTAATACAATTACACACATTAAAACGTGAGTCTCATGTAATATCTCATAACAAATATTGCCTTAGCATCCTTTTATTCAACGACCATGGGTTATAATTTATACCTTTGTATAGTCACCATTTCAGATTAAAGTATTAAGTATTATATTAAAAGGTACAATGTTTTCAATGTACAATGTACAATGTTCTCTGCATAACAATCAGTGCTATGTGACATCAAAAATCTTTTTCTATTTAATTTGTTGATGCTTATCCTAAGTATCCTGAGGGTTTTGAAATAAGGTAAACAAGTTTAAACGGTAAAAAACGACGAGTTCTTTGTGTTGTAAACTATTTAAAAATAATTTATTACGTAAGCAATATTATTTAAAAAATTTGGGGTTACGTGTTTAGTAATAGCTTATAAAATAGCACTTACAGAAATTGCTGTACCTTTAATATAGTCTAACAAACCTCAAATGTTTTGGTAAAAGATTATTTTACATGTTAATTTTACTTTCGCAATAATGGAAATGATTGTTTTTTTTTATTCTTACACCTTATCTTGCATAAATAAAACAGCTATTGCCTTATCATACTAAATTGTTTTTGATATGCTTTTAAATAAGATATTTAACTTGGAATTCTAAAACAGTTTCAAAAATATTATTAACAA